TGCTTAGAAGCATAAATATTTACTATTTTATAGAGAACATGTTTCATTCTTCCACCATTCTGGAGAGGCAAATTTTTCATTCAATTTATCAAACCAGGTGTCCTGAAATAAAGTTGTATTTGATAATCAAATAGCAATGACATTTTAGCTGACTCAAGCTGTCGAACAGTGTGGTGTTTCACCGTGTACCTTCATAAAGCCTGCCAAGTGATTCACCATCTTTTTTCCTATTGATACTTTATGGACATAACTAAACTTGCTGTATCTGGAGAAATACTGACAGAATTTCATATGTATATATTGTGACACTTAAAAGACACTGTGCTTCGTTCTAATGAACTATTTTTTACCTTTTTAGTTTTCTCTGGGGCTACCTTATATACTCTTGGTAGGGCAATCAAATAAAAATAAGAAAAATAAGACCTAGTTCCTCATTTGGTAAGCAACTTAGTGTCTGATTTCTTAAGTTTCTAGCAATTCCTGGAGGTAGATTAGGCTGCTGCCCATGTTAAGTAAATGTTCTTTGTATTTATGTAGTAGATAGAGCTGAGCAAGCACTTTTACAGAGCCATGAGCTGGGAAAAAATTCTCCAAAACATTTTCTCCATTGTTTTTTCTGATTCACAGTGATTCCTTTGCTCTGTCCCTTCCAAAGTTCTTGCCTTCCAAGCCTACTTACTGACATGCAATTCAAATTCATTATAAAAAAATTTAGTAGTGTTACTAAGAAAAAAATAGCATGGGTAATTTGTTGCTTTCCAAATGTTTAATGTCGTACTTCTACACATGCATGTCCCTAAATCTGTATGATTGCACATTGCAGACCTTTTAATTTTTAGTCCTCTGTCTACTCCCAGTTTAGTTTTTGGTTTGTGGATTTTGGTCTTTTTTCAGTGTTTTGCTCATTCCTCGATCCCCTGGCATGTCCATCTGTCCCAGCAGAAATGCAACATCTGCAGTCTCTCCCAGGGCACAGGGTCCCCTGAGAGAAGTCTTTAGAATGATGTCATTCATTCATTTTTCAAGAGCATACAACACTGCTCTGAAGCATCTGTTCTCTCTAAATCCTGCCATTTGGACTTTGCTTCCTTTCTTGGGACACAATCTCTTCTTCTGACATACAGAGACTCAGAAACTCTTCTCCACCATAAACCAAACAGAAACATGACTACCAGAGCTTCCTGCAACTGGAACAGTAGCTCTTACATGTACAATGGCACAAAATGGATCAGCACTGCTTGCCACCAATATTAAGCCTTCCTTAAAAGAAATTAAAAAAAAAAAAAATTAAGGTAGCAAGACCAAACACACAAAGAAACAAGCTTCATAACTTGGGCAGAGAAACAGAAGCTGTGCACGTCTCTGCTGGAAAGCCACCTCTGGAAACTAATAGGACCATCTGAGGAGAATTACGGTTCCCCTCTCTGCGCAAAGCCACCCTCTTTGCTCGTGTGCTCAAGGCACTTGTTAATCCTCTTATTTCAGATGGGAAGGCATTAGTGTGTTTGTGTGTGTGTGTTTAAGCATGTAGAAACCACTACAAAAAGTACCAGCACAAAACATGCTACAGGAAGTATTTATTAGGGGAAAAAATGGGAGCAGTGAAGGATGAGCTGATGACACAAGCAGTGAAAGCATTCTTTAATTACTTGTTCCAATCTGTACTTCAAATACAACTCCCAGTACTCTCTGTGCCTGTTAGAAAATGAAAAACTGAGAAAATAGGATTATAAAACCATACCTGAACATGAGGTATTAGTGAAGTAGGTTAGAATAGGAACGCACGCCTGGAAGAAAAGCACAGGGAGCAAAGCTGGACAGCATCTGTAAATGATCCTAGTTATCTAAGTTAAGAGAGGCCACTGTGGCCAGAGCCATATCAGTCAGTTCAGGCAACTGAGCACTGCACACCATTTCAACAGAACAGAATACAAGCATAGCCTACCTGCTGAATAACACCTTTTATTATTCATTTAAAATCAGTAATTTCAAGACAATCCTACAGATTTCTAATGAGCAATATAAACTGAGAGGCCCCATGCAGGTCTCAGATTCCACTGTTTATTTAGATCCACCAGTGTGAAATCACTGATGCTACACCTGAAATTACATCCACAGGGTAAGAACTTTAAACTTCTCTTCAAGAAAACATTGCATTAACTGAAAGTTTTGTGTTGTTTATTACCAAGGTCCAGGTCAGGCCACAGTGACTTTCTCATGTGGAAAATGAGCAACCTGGTTTACTGGGAAGTGCCTCTGCCCATGGCAGAGGGGTTGGAATTCAGAGATCTTGAAAGTCCCTTCTAACCCAAACCATTCTATGATTCTATGAAACAGGAAATCTCTGCAATCTCTCATTCTTTACAACTTCTGGCAAAAGTGTATCCTTAAATTTACTGATGTCATTTAGTTGTTTCATTCTGGTAGACTAAGTAAAGCACTGAAATGATAAAGGCATAATGATTCTTTGTATTCTTTTAATAAATTTACAATGTACACTGAAATAGAGTTTGGGAATCACAGATAAAGCAGAGAATAAAAAATGAAAATTAGTCATTACATACTAGCTTTTGCAAACTTTATTCTGTTACTGGGAGCATTCTCTGCAGAGAAAGGCTGTATAAAAATGGGTCTACTGGATGTCTACTGAGAAACAATATTGCATTAGCCCCCAAGACCACTTAATTAATTTGGAAGCCAGGCAATTAAAAAACGAGCTTAGATTTCTGCAATGGCCTTTCCAATGTTTGTGGATTCACAGGAGCACCCTTCACTTAGAAAAAAAAAAAAAAAAAAAAATTATTTTTTAGAGAAAAAACACGAAAGAGAAAAGGACACAGACACCATTCCAATGAGTGAATTTGTGTACATAAACATGTTCAAATTCCCTGAGGAAAACAGCAAAATATTTATACTGCTCATCTGGTAATTTGATTCTGCTGCTGTCAGGCTTTCTTTAAGAGCTCTTCATGACAGGAATACTCCTTCAGGTTGGCTATTGTATCTTTTGTGGAATTAGGACAATGAGGACCTGCTCTTATGTGAATCACTTGCTTTCTACATGTTAAATATTAGAAAAGACAAGAAGTATATCTCAGAAGCAAAATTTTAAACTGATTTGGATCCTTGAAGATGCTTCTATATGCATTTCCCTCTCCAGTCACCCAGCTCTGCTCACCACCTCAGGAAGGTGCAAGAGACCCACCTCCTTTGCCATGGTCTCTCTCACACCTCTCACACCCTCTGTGCAGGGGTTGCTTGTCTCTGGTTATTCGCCCTGCTCCTGTTAACTCTGCAGGGTCCACTCCTTATCTGGCCCTAAAAGGCTATAGCCGTAGCTTCAGAAAAACATTTTTAGTCAGCTCTTTTAATAATTAATCACAACATTCACCCTTAAAATGTGCAATGAAGAGAAACCATACACAGGGGGCAACAACTGTTTGCCAAAAAAAAAAAAAAAGATAAATATTGCAGACTCGCCTCTCCCCTCCGGCACTGAGAATGATGATAAAATACCCCATACCTGAGCTCTCACACCTCAGGAAAATTAGGTTTTCCTACACGTATCTGACTTGTAGAGTATGGATATTCTAACATGTGCTTTTGGCGTGGGGGGCTGGGAGGAAAACCTTTGCAAAAGAATCCACACCACTTCCTGATTTGCTCTGTATGACTTATATTTTGATTTTTTGGCAACCTAAGTTTTATCTTCTCTTTTTTACAGCTGCTCACAATGTACCTCCCAGCAGCCATACATCTGGTTTGGAAACAGAATTATCTTCTAGGGTAGTGCCCTACTGTCAGGATGCAATACATACCTGTTATCATACACAGTATAGTCACTTGTGCATAACAATAACCCATGCAATACAGATCTGCTAATTGCACTATCACCATGCTACACTACTACTCTAATATGTTGCATTAGTAAGGACTGACCTAATTTCGAAGCTACCCACACAAGTATCAAATGGTTGTATCAAACATTACCTTCTAATACACCCTTAGAGTACCCATGTTTTACCTGGCTGCATATTAATTTTAAAGCCAAAACTAGCAAATACTAAGATAAACTGAGATAATTAATGTCATGAATCCAACATTTTATAAAACGTATTACAGGTGCAGAAGCCTCAAGAGACCTGATCATGTTAGCTAAATTTTCACTGTATAATCCAATTAACTGAGAAGTTCTAAGAACAAAGAAGACTTTTCAGTTTAATGCAACCTTTTTTCATCACAAAGTTGATTCAAGAGATTTTGTTTTCCAGTTACAAATGCCTCTAAAGCAGCTTCAGTGGGCCATGCAGTAGTAGCAGTACTTTGTCTGCTGAGACTAAGAGCCCTCCATTGTCTGTAATTTTTTTTTCCCCAAAACAATTATCTCCTAGGAAAACACATTTTAAAACACTTTCAGAAACACCCTCAAAACTATGCAACTTTGGAAGCAAAGAGATAATCATCATCAGAAAGTTTCACTGATTATGCCTGCTCTGCCAGTCTTTAACCGACCTGTTCCTGTGTACACCTTTCAACAAACCAAGGTATTTTTGGCCACTCACATACTGCTCCACTTACAAGTTGGTCTGAGTGGTACCAGATCTTTGTGCGTTTCCTAGGACGAGGCAACCCTAAAGAACGGATAGCAGAGAACTGCTCACAAAGGGACACACCTTAGCAACAGACTCCTTCTTCACCCCTGGAAGTTCACGGCTTGTTTTTTTTAAGACAAAACGAACAAACACAGAGGATACCCACCACCCTTTACTCCCTTTTTACCCCACTCACAGACCTTTCTCGACAGATAAACACGCCGAACCGGAGCACAATTTTGGTATCTTCAGGTACTCGCAAGGGGCTTTAAAGGCAGCAAGGAAGCTAATTAGAGGCAAAGTTGGGGCTATTTCTGAATTAACTTTCCAGCAACAGCGTCTGCAGTCCTCCGGCAGATGCTGAGCGGCTGGCGCCACACCGGTTTTCAAAGCGTGCTGTCACCGTACCTTCAGAAGCCTGACGGAGGGGAGGAAAGCGGCATGGCACAGCTTCCGGATGGTCCAGTTCAGCGGCCGGGGAGCATCGGTCTGATTCATGACCCTCCGCAAATCAATCCCACTGGGAGATCAGCCGCAGACCTGGCAGCGCCTACCGCGGAAACCGCCCTCCCCGGCGCGGGCACCCCGTGCGCATCCCGCCCGCCGCGGGGCAGGGACCCGGAGGGACCGGGAGGGACGGGACGGGCAGGGCTCGCCCGGAGCGGGCAGCGGGCAGAGGGCTGGGCTGGGCTAAGCTGGGCGAGCTGCGCGGCCGTGGCCACCGATCGATCCTCCTTAAGAAAGCTGGCTCCTGCGTGGGAACAGCAGCGCTCATGCATACCAAATGCGGCTGGATGGAGGCGATCAGCCCGCTGCTCGGGGCAGGCTGCGCTGCTTGAGCGGAAAGGGGCAGCCCGCATAAAAAAAAAGGCTGCAGTGAGAGCTGCTGCTCCTGCTCTCTCCTTCCTGCCCTCCTCCGAGAGCAGCCAGGTTAGCCGCTCCCAGGCACGCTGAGCCATCCGCCTCGCTCCTCGGCTTCCCAGGGAGAAAAGACGGGCAGAAACGAGATAATTTAAATAAAGCAAACGGGGGGGGTACTTGTACTTTCTTTCCCAAAGCATTGCAAGGAGAGGGAAATCGGCATGAGGGGAGGGGCCAACGCTCAGACAGCAAAGAGAGAGAGAAAAAAAATTATTCACTCTTGATTTACTGATACAGTGGCCCTAGAAAGCATAGATTCATTGATCTGGTATAGTACTGGTTCATTAGAGGCAACTGGCAGTGGTTAGAAGCCGTATTGTAAGAGTGTAAATGTTAATATGTACATTCTGGCAAACACACACACACATACCCCGCACAACAACAACAATGAAAAACTAACGTCAAGCAAGCCAAGTTCACAGTTCAGCTCATTTTAATATTAAATCTGTGCACAGAACAATTATTTTAAAGCCATGCAATCACTATTAGTAATAGAGTTGGGGCAATACAAGTATAACAAATCATGTTTCCATTAGGGGCAGTTAAGTGGCTTTCCCAGCTAATGAAGATCTTGAATGCCAGCTCTCCAGCTAAAAGAAATCTGTTCCCCCAGTATTTTTTTGGAGGGGATGAAGGTTACATGAGGGAAGAGTTAGGAAGTGCAAAAGCAAATATCCCATAAAGCAATGGGAATTATTCATTTTGCTACTAATGACCAGTTTTTACTAGCAAATATAGTAAGTATATTAATAAAGTATAGCAATGACTATAGAGCAAAACAGCCACTTCTCAGTACAGTTTAAGTATCTCATAAATCAGGTTAGGAAACGTGGATTCTATAGCTAGATTTCACTGATCTGCCATTTTCACATGGCATTCCTTTTCATCTCCATAGTGCACATATTTTTCTCTATTTTTAATTTATTCTTGTTACTGCATATACATACATCATCGATAGCTGGTGAATAATTCTCCAAATGAGGGCAAAGAGATGAAGAATACTATTTCCATGAGGCTATGCTAATCTGCTTGGATCATGTATTACTGTCTATAATGGTTTGCAGTAGGGTCACAAATCTAAAACTCTCTAACAATACTTCTGGTTTGCTTTTCAAAGTTTATCTAAGGACAGGCAACTTTGTGAAAAACAGGGAAACTTTAGTACCTCAGTCAATACCATCAGATCCTCCAAGGAAAACAGAGGATCCTAAAAACTGTAGTTACCCCTCAAGAGCAGGGAAGGATTGGTATTTACATCCTGGTCTTCCTCCCCAAAGGAAGTCTTGTGCTTGTACACAGACTGATACTCTCCAAAACCTGTATATTGAGGCCCATGTAGATAGAGCCTATTTGCATTGAGGAGGAAGCCCAGTACATCTGTGCTTTCTTTTGAACATACACATACCAGGCAGCTCTTCCTCACTGTACCCTCTTAGGAACTGTGTGAACGTTCTTATTCAATCTCAGTGTTGGATAAAGTTCTGTCCAGAATGTAATGTCCCAGAACATAACTGCAAGGCTGACTTTGCTCCGGAAGGGTTCTCTCACTTCTTCCACCCCACTGCACATGCTAAAATGATGAAAATTCAAAGGTGCAGAGACCAGACCGTGGGTTGTGTATGGAACAGAATGGGTGGAACACCTGGAGCCATTTCCTTGTGAAAAAAGTTGTGCCACTGACTGGCACAAATGGTTATGACTGGGCAGCTAGGTTAAATTATACATATTTAAATGGCTTCTTGCTTGAGCTCAGAATGTATTTGTTTTATGAAAGAGTAAAAAATCTTGCTGTTGATAGTGAAAAGGAACATAAGTAAATTATTAAGTAACTTAATTATTTTCTGAAACCAATTTTACTAAGGCTCCAGTCAACAGACATATTAAGTACATAGAAAAAAATAATTCTGACTTTAAATAGCATGTACCTTAAAATACATGCAGCATGATAACTTTGCTGTTATAACGGTAATAATATCCAGTGATAAAGCTTTTGAGGTTCACAGTAAAAGGAAAGTAAAAGACTAAACAAATCAGAAACAAGGACTCCAAGCACTTCCGTATCCCCCACACTCCAAGCCATGTTAATAACATTTCTTTACCCTTGAAGATCAGGAAGGAGTTTCTTGGGAAGGTGCCAGACTCATCTTTACCTTGACCCTTTCACTTCTGTTTTGTATTAGGCATCTGCCATAAACCTGACTGTTCAGCCTATGTGCTAGCAACAAAGAAGACAGAGCAATCATGGCATGCTGCCCTTCTTTTCAGTGAGTAGAGTAACAAATCTCTGAGGAGTCTCTAGAGCAGAAGACAATAAAGAAACATAACAGATAGCTTTAATAAACTAAAAATAGTGAGCCCAATGTATCTTCTAGCTTCCACAGAGCTTCCTGTCTTTTTGCTGTTTTACATTGCCTTGTGCCTTGTCTAGTCATTTGTATTTGCAGAGAGTGCAAGAGTACTAACTGCAGTCAGTGGCAGTAAGAAAGCTCTTACAGACAGAACATCACCATGACATGGGAACTTCACTTACACCACAAAGTTCTTGGGTGCCTCTCAACATATCATTTAATCTCTGCTTTGCCCTAATTTTAATTAATTTTAACCCTTATACATGTATCTTGCCTATAAGCAATACTGCACTGATTTTGAGTGTAAATTTCAGAGAAGTCAAGCAAGGAGATTTCTTTGTCTTGGCAGCAGCCTCCAACAATTTGTGTAAGTGTAAATGGTGAAGGATTAGGAAGCAGAGAAGCAAATTCTGAAAAGTTTTTTTTTTCAGAGATGCTGACAGCAATGGTTAAAAAATACAGTAAAAGATTAGGGAGACGTTGGGTTTTGTTTGTTTTGTGCAGCTTTTTATCACTTCAGTGAAAAATTCAGAGTTTGAATCTCTTATTCTGTTCGCTGGAAAATCATCTGCTCAGCTTTTCTACAATCTGACGCCCATTAGGAGATGCAAAGATGTAGCAATCCCACTAGAATTTATGCTCCTACTTTGCTAGAGCTAAAATACAGATCTGTCACTTTCATATTAAAACACTTTGTCCCTGAAGAATGCTCACTGCACCATCAGTATTCACATCTAGTCCTTTGTCTCTTGCCAAGGAGCCCCTTTGGTATCACAAGAAGGCATAGCAAATTCCATTGCTTCCTGAAATACAGAGAGATTTCTATTATTCTTAAACCTATTGTTCATGGAAAGCACTTTTAAGAGCACCTCTTTGTAGATTCCTGGCATCTAGTGTGATAATAATCCTACACTTAGAAAGCTCTGATACTGTAAAATTTAACTCCTCTGAGAATGCTACGGAATGAAAAATGGCTGAGAAGTCCATTAACATCCAGACCACTCAGCACACCGTCGATGTCCAACATTTTCAACCTGAGAGCAAACATTTAGCTAAAAGTATTGTAGACCCAGGTACTGCTCTTCTATCCTCCCTAGCTAACAATTCCTTTATGAAATAAGAGATTCTGTGTAAATCAATAGCAGAAAGGGCAGGCAGGATGAGGAAACCAGAAAGGTGTATTGTCAGTGTGGTAGAAGGCGACCTCTTCTGTGGAGCCACTGCCTAACTGGGGACAAACATCACATAGAGGCAGAAGAGTTTTCCCATGATACCACACCCGTTTTTCTCATGTACATCAAAGATGTGAGAAGAAAGACACATCTTCACACTGCAGCTATAGACCCTCTTTGCCAAGGCTTCCTTGCTCTTGGAGTACCTTCCTGCTTCCTCAAGGGCTTGCATTGCCCAATAGGGTAGCAAATACCAGACAAAACAGAGCTACTCTTGCACCCATTTGCTTGCAGTGTTCATCATGGGAGTACTACATAGACATCCTGAAGCAGAGGTGTTAGATCTTCATAAACCACTTTGGCCATCTTCTAGGTTCATGGAAGAAACAGCAGGATAACAACAGAAAAAGAAGTCATTTAGAGGCCCTTATTTAAAATTAAAGAGTTAACAAAGCAGTTCACAGGTATAGTTAAGAAGGATCAGACATCTTACTACCCAGACACTGCATGTCTGTAGTAACCTAAATAATAATGAAGAGTATATCAACGAACAGAAGCCTGATTTACAATAGCAATAACTCTTCTTTTTTCCCCCAACACATTCATATTTCAGTTTATTAACTTTTATTTTGTGTGATTTCTTGCAAAATCAGAGGATAGAAAGCTAGTGTGTGTTATAAAGTCTGGATAAACTATGCTTAATTTTATGCCTGCCATAACATCTTAACAGACCCAAATTTTCCTGAAGCTTTACTCAACTGATAATTAATTTATAAAATTTCTTCATTGCTCTCACACCTTTTCTAGCCACAGCATGTCTGAGGTAGCTTTTTCTGCTGTTTGTTAAGGTAGTCCTGTCTTCTGCCACATAATCATTCTCACTACTCCCTCTCCCTCAGAAACAGACAAAAGTAATGTCTACATGCTTACTAAATGTTAATTAATTTGTTCTAGATGCAGGCAATCCTGTGGACAGTTTTAAGCACATACATAAACAGTACTGTACGCAGCTATAAATTATGGCCTTTGACAAAAGACTGAAAGGCCGAAATAAAAGGTATTATTTATGTTATCTTAAGTTATCATAAGTGTGTGATGAATATCAAAGGCCAGGTTGGATGGAGTTTTGGGTGATATGGTTTAGTACAAGGTGTCCCTGCCCATAACAGGGTGGTTGGAAATAGATGATCTTAAGGTCCTTTCCAACGATAACTGTTCTATGATTTTATGATTCTATGATTATTTTATTCACATACTCACTATCACTTTGAGGTCATCTTTAACTGATCTGTATCTGGCTTTTTCCTGGGACAGCACTTATCTGGGCTACCACAAGAGATCTCAGGGTACCACAACACACAGCTTCTGCAGAGAACCAGGGGAAGTGCACTTGTGAGACAGCAGGTGATCTGGGCAGTGCAGACAAACACAACACTCCTTTGTCAGAGATACTCTTCCACACACCCCATTAAATTGTTCCCAGTTCCAAAATAAGCAAGTGGAGGTGCACATTAAAGTCAGACTGTACGCACAGAAAATGGAAGTTTAAGGTGGTATGTCACAAGCAGGCTACACCGTTATTAGTGGTTTCACTTCT